ACCCCTCACATCCTCCTGAGACCCCAGTTTCCACAGCAAACCAAAAACATGTCTTAACCACTTTCCCAAAAACACCAGTGCCTTTAACATGCTGTTGTCTTGGCGCCGAATGTCCTTCCCTAGCTTTTTCATGTAGTAAAATTTTACTTCTCAGATGTGATCCAGTTCAAATATCAGGTAATCTTGTCAAAAACGTTCTTGGTTTTCCTATGTTCCTTCTTCTAAGTTCCCACACTAGCTCGTAGGCACCTCCATTACTGTTTTCAACCAATGATTTAGTGATTATCTGTTCTTGTATCTGACTCCCCAACTAGATTTTGAGTACTGTGGTCAAGGACTCCACTTCATATGCTTATCATCAATAGTTCCTAACCTTCTAAAAGATTTCCCAATCACTAATCAATATAGTTAGGATCGTAGCTATTTAACTGTTTCTTTCACTCAAAGATGGGATATAATAATCAGTGGGTCCCAGGGCACCTGGGTGGCTCAGTCGGTTAAGTGTCCGACTTCGGCTCAGGTCATGATCTCACAGTTCGTGGGCTCGAGCCCTGCGTCAGGCTCTGTGCTGACTGCCAGCTCAGAGCCTGGAGCCTGTTTCAGATTCTGTAACTCCCTCTCTCTCTGATCCTACCCTGCTCATGCTGTTTCTCTCTCTCTCTCTCAGAAATAAATAAAACATTAAAAAAAAACTTAATAATCAGTGGGTCCCCTCAGGGAAACTTCAGCCATTTAGAAGGTAGGAAGGGTTTTTGGATTTAAATTAACTATATCCATCTGATACTTCTTAATTGGCTTAAATAAATCTAGATATCTTGTAATTTCATCAACAATTTGATGTACATATCTTTGGGCAAATTATCTTTTTTAGTTATCCTGGTCTGACCCCCTAGAGAGCAGACACTGGGTCTTATACATCTATGTATAACCCACACCACCTATACAAGGTAAATGTTCAATAAATAGTCATTAAATAAAATTCCCAAAATGAATGGTATCTTAATCTGGGCTGCTTCAACATAACACTGTGGATAGGGTACCTTTAACAACATTTCTCACAGTTCTGGAGACTGGAAAGTCCATGGTCAAGGTGCTGGCATATATTTAGTGTTTGGTGAGGACCCTATTTCTGGTTTACAGAAGGCCATCTTCTTATTGTATCGTCAGGTGGAGGAAAGAGAGAGAGAGAAGGAGAGCTCTCATCTCTTCCTCTTCTCATACATGCACTAATTCCATCATGGGGGTTCTGTCCTCATGACCTCCTCTAAACCTAATAACCTCACCAAAGCCCACCTCCAAATACTCTCATATTGGGGATTAGTGCATCAATATCTGAATACTGGGCTGGCGGTGGAGGGGGGGATCCCAAACATTCAGGCCAAGGCAAGTTACCACACTGATATTTGGTCACATGTTTTAATGTTCCATTTGAGTATTACAAGTAAACAAAGATAAATTCAACTGAATTAAAAAAAAAAAAAGAATCAAAGAGGGGCTCCTGGGTGACTCAGTAGGTTAGGCATCTGACTTCAGCTCAGGCCATGATCTCATGGCTCATGAGCTTGAGCCCCACATCGGGCTCTGTTCTGACAGCTCAGAGCCTGGACCTGCTTTGGTTCTGTGTCTCCTTCTCTCTCTGCCCCTTCCCTGCTCATACCCTGTCTCTCTCTCTCCCTCAAAATAAATAAATATTTTTAAAAAATTTTTAAAAATCAAAGAAGGGAAATACTTTCCTTGACAAAATGCCTCCAACACAGAAACACATTCTTTAAATTAAATCTCTAAAACAGCTACCATTCTAACCAGGCAAGTTAGTTCAGACAAAAGAGCAAAACGCGCCTCATACCTCCTCTGTTTAGATGGGGGACCCAAGGCTAATCGTCACCTCTACTCCCATGGAGAAGGTTACTGGTTTATCTAAATCTACCTCCAGGAGGGCAAGGTACACAGTGTGGTATCTCCTCTAAAGGAACACATGTGAGGGGTTCAGATTGGGACTAGGCAGCTTCCTCGTTCTTCTGCCCAAAGAAAAATGTACAGAATTTGAAAGGGAGAAAAAATCCTAATTCAATGCAAGCCTTTCATTACTTTGCAAACACTTCAAATGGAGGGAAGGTGACGTGAGCAGCTCTGTACATTAAAACATTAAAGACCCACTAAAAGAATGAAATCGTGCCCAGATGTCAAATAACCAGAGTGCTAATGTCAAGGTTTTTCTCAAAATGGGGGCAAGCCATGGCACAGATGTTAGCATGACTTTTCTCTAAACATTTGAAAGTGAAATATTTTTACGAACAAAAATTAGGAGTAGGGAGAAATAGAGGAAAAGTGAGGGAGGGGCTTTCGTGTATAATTACAAAATATTTGCCATTTGTTCCATTTTGAGAGCTTACCTCCCTACTCCACTTAAAGTTGAATCCCACATAAGAAGTTACTGGTCAGTTTCTACCAGGACTCCCTCCCCTCGCCATTTTCAGGAATCTCATGCAAGCATGTGAGAGACTATTTCTAATACTGCTCGAAAACCACCATGTTGTCAGGTTTCCTGCTTTCCCCACTATGTTGAAAGTCCTCGCTTCCTTCCTCTTACCCTTTTTCACAGGTTCTCATTTGTAACTTTTAACTTTATTATTTTCCTTCTTCTCCTTCCCCTTTTCTTCTCTCTTTGAATTAAGTTCTCCATCTTTCCTAAGTATGGAGTTCTGAAGTACATAGAGAACACTCTATCTGGAAGATTTTTAAATGTGAACTATGCCTTTCATTGCATAGCCCAGTATTGGTAACAAAAGTACAACCTTACTGATTCCGTCATCCAAGCAACAAATATTTTAAATTTAGAAATAAATCTGACACTGTTGGTTCAGAGTCTTGTAAGAAGTATCTTGAAATACAAAGAGATTGTAATTTTCTCTGATCAGTATATCCTGCTTTCATTTTGCAATTCTGCATGTTTCAGCTTTTGCTCAGAATCTCATGGATTAGGAAAATGAAGCCATAACTGTAGCTTTCTGGTGGATTATATGCAAAAAGTTTTTGCTTTTTCCCTTTTACCCAAATGTTGAAATCATTTTTTTCTATCCCCTTTGTCACTATGATCCACATCCTTATGTTCCCAGTAAAGAGGAAAAGAGATCACTACAATGGAATCTATTGGAGGTTCTTTGGGATCCTGCCTTTGTTATGAAATATAAACACTCTTCTAGAGAAATGTTTTTCCTGCTTGGATTATATTTCACCAGTGCTACATATTCTGTGGTATCTCCATAGCTGTCTCTATCACTATCTAAAAAGCTTTGTTGTTGTTTTTTTTTCTCCCCCAGGGAAAGTTATACATAATTGAGTCCTGATTTCCAGTCTATTCATATCTATGTCCCAAACTTTGCCAAACCATCAGCTAGGCTCTCACTAGAAAGAGAGAAACCTCAATGTGTCCAATGTGTATTGAACATGGGGGCAATTAGTCCATGGACTCCAGAAGGTTTCTAGGACAAAACATCATAAATGTGGCTCTTCTAGAATCTCCTCTTTGTGTTCCTTCAGGACAGAGCCTAATCAAACAGAAGAGCTGACTGCATCCCAAAAAATACATTGATTGACCTAAATATCTATTTTCATGTTTCTTTAAGTTATAATTATCACTTCCATTACCACCCCCTGGGCTCATTAGTGAAGTTAACATGAATTCTTCATTGTAAGTCCCATATTATTATGTGAGATGGAGAAAAAGTAAACTCATAGTAAAGTATCAAGCCATTCATTCCTTTTTAATAAAAACAAATAAGGTTAATAATAAAGATTGTATTTAAAGCTAATATTTTATCATTAATTTATAGGTGGAATTTATAGTCAATTTCTAAAGCAGTGGCCTGGCCCCAAACGTATTATTCTTTTGAATTGAATTGCCACCCAAAAATAAAACAAAGACTGTCCATTTCTTTGAAATAAGAACCACTAGGGGCATTATGACCAAGGAAGATCTGGTCTGATATTCTAGAGACCTTGTCTTTCTTTTAATAGTAACACTCAAATATACCTTTGAAGTCCAACCACATAAGTAATACAGATTTGGAAAAAAGAGGCAATCAGTAGAATAAGTGAAATAGTTTAAAATATCATATTATTTTGAAAAGGACAATATTCTGTGTCTAAATTTTTTTCTTTTGCCAGAATGGTAATAATTAAGGAGAAAATAAAGGTTTTCTTAGCTTTTTGAAAAATGAAAACTTATGAGTTTAGCAAACTCCACAGAGAATGGATCAAAAGTCTCTAACATTTGACCCTGTACACCACATATTTTTTGACAAGATTTCATTTTTATGGACTAACAGAAGTTACACTCATGCAAAATATGTATCCTCCCATAAGAAGCAACAGATCAAAAAACTCAACATAGTAAAGACATTTTCTAGGCAACAAATACTCTAAGGCGTGAAATTTGGCCTCTCCCCAAACTTCAGTGGTTCTCAAACTTGAATGTGCATCAGAGACTTCTAGAGGACTTGATGAAACACACTGTGGCCTCACCCCAGAGAATACAATTTAGTTGTTCAGGGTGAGGCCCAAGTATTTACATTTTAACAAGTTTCCAAGGAATGAGATAATAATGCTAGTCTGGAGATGGCATTTTGAGAACCACTGAGTCACGTACTCAATCACTGTGGAAATCTCAGTGTACGTCGTCTAATCTTTCCCGAGGAACATCCTGTGTTCCCTGTGCCAGTTAGTGTTTCCACAGACAAACAAGATGACCTTCAAAGTAAAGTATTATCTTCATCACCTCTGAGTCACACAACCCTTTTTTAAAGCATCACAACCATTTAGGTATTCAAAACATGAAATAAAAATAATTATAATAGCTTTAGTTCTTAATGGACACATTTGACCCTTAAGGAGTAAGGTGAATACTGTATTTGAAGACTCACTGGAATCTACGATTTTTTTGATCTGATGTTAAAAACAAAGTATGGCTATAAGTGGGCAGTTCCATCCTGAAGACTTACCTGTGACTGGTGCATCGATATCCAGCAAATTTTTTTCCTGTCGAAGAATTGAAGCCCCTTCTGTTATTATTCTCAATGCAACACTCTCTTCCAGCCTGCCCTCCTTCATGAGATGTGCCTTTAAGATATCCACACGAGGTTTCCCATCGTTATCGAATACTTCTTTTGCTGTAAGCCGGTGACTCGGAGGAAAGGGGACAGCTGAAAGAGAAAAACTCAAATTATTATATTAGCCAAACCCAATAGCAGTTTCAATAATAACCACCAAATACCTCTATAACTAACCACTTACTGGAGTGTTTTAAAAGTTCCCATATTAAAATATAATCAAGGGTTACCAAAAAGTAAAGATTGGCTTCTTTCTTTGATTCTGGATGCAATGTGATTGCTGAAAGGAATCACTTGCTGATTCACCCAGTACCTGTCTCTTGCATATAGGACATCCAGATTAAGTTTAATAAAGCGAAAAGAAAGAGATGTTTCTGTTAGGCAATAATCGATTCAACAAAGAAAATAGTTTCTATACATCCAACCATAACTAACTCAGGAGATGATGTTTCTCCACTGGGAAAAGGTCTGCCAGACCAGATTTACCCCTCCAACTAAAGTCACACCTCTGAGTAAACTGATTGACTCACTGTTTAAGAAGAAAGCAAGAATCTGAGAGCAAACAGGTAAAAATGAACTGAATATTAAACAGGAAATCAGGATTCATGTGTGCATGTACCAAAGGGACATCTTGAACACTGAAGGACAATATGGTGTCAGGGAGGAGACATAGGTATTTAGAAATATGATATAATGACAAACTCAACTTACCACTCAGACTCAGAACCAACCATTCTCTCTTTCGCCCATATCCCCATACCTCAACAGTTAAGAAGCCCTCTTAAAGCTACTGCCATTCTTCACGTCTATAAATACATTCATTTACTCATTCAGTTGGAGGATATTCACTAAACTACAATGTTCCAGGACATCCAAAGATTCACTGTTAGAGAGGATATCTTGAAGGTTAAATTTCTCATAAATGGCCAATAAGCCCCTTCACTGAGGCTTAAGTCATTGTTTGTCTATTTCATATGAGGGTTCATTACTGGAAAACAACTCAGATCTATTAGAAACATCTCAAAGGACCAGCTTCATGAAACTTTCCTCTGCCATGTGTATTATGCCATGTGCAAAAGAACATCTCCATATAATGGTTCCTCTTTTAGAAAGAACACTGCTATTAAGAAAGAAACCTAGACCCTTTATTTCTTAAAAGTGTCTCTCAAAGAAGTAAGTTTTATGGTAGATCTATAGCAAAAATTCTGTGCAATCTAACAGCATGGATTCGTTATTCAAGAGAAATTCTAAGTACTTAAAAGCAAATAAAAATCAGGAAATGAACCAGTACTAATGGATATAACTTGATTTTCTTAATAATCCAAGCATATCTATTTACTAAGCTGTCAAAGTGAAGTGGCAGAAGTAGACTCAGAAGGTAAGCATGAGGCTTTTGTGGTCAGATGAATTTGAGTGCAAACCTTGGCTTTGTACACTCACCAGTTTTATGACCTTGGGCAAGTGAAATAACCTCCTTTGGCTTCCGTTACCTCACCTGCAGATTGGGGATTACATCTATCTGAGCGTTGTTATAATAACTAGAGTACATAGTAATATTAGTAGCTAACATTTATAGAGTGTTTCTTTTATGCCAGGTATTGTTTGGGTAATAAAGGCCGACACAACAGTAAAGCTGTAAGATGAGTAAGACATATGTACATGTGTTTACATATAAATGTACTTAGTCCTCATAACATTACTGTGGGGAAGAAGCTTGAAGCGTAAAAGCATTAAGCTCTTTGCCCAAGATGATCACCTGGTGATTTGTATGTAGACCCAAAGAGTATAAAGTCCAGCAGTCTGATGCCGGATCGCCTGTGTCCACAACTACTCTACATGGCTTCTCAAAAAGAACTTAAGACAGGGCTTAAAAATTGTAAAGTCATGAGGAGATCGTTTTTTTTTTAAATTGAAATTCTAACAAATACTGAAAGGTGTCTTTTAAATTTTTTTTATGTTTATTTATCTTTGAGAGAGAGACAGAGTGTGAGCAGCAGAGGGGCAGAAAGCAGGAGACACAGATTCTGAAGCAGGCTCCAGGCCCTGAGCTGTCAGCACAGGGCCCGACATGGGGCCCGAATCCACAGACCATGAGATCACGACCTGAGCCGAAGTTGGACGCTTAATCACCCAGGTGCCCTGAAAGTGTTTCTTATAAAGACTGTTTTTATTTTCAAAAATTATTTTGGGCAGCTTAGAGTAGAATGGATACACAATACAAAAGCATGATGTAAAATAAAACACAAAATGCAGAAAGCCAAAGCATAGGGGATAATAAGAGAAAATGCAAGAACTAAACAAGGAGGAGAAAAAAAAAAAAAGAGGAATTTAGGTCATTAGACTTCAGGCATTTGGGGATTTTGTTCATATTGTTCCTTTGCCTGCCCTACTTTTCCTTACCTAACAGATATCCTTCCTTGGTAAGAAAACATGGGAACATTCCAATGGCCCCGTCTATTTACGTGGGTCTTTTTGTATGGTTTGAAATTAGAAAATATCTTATCTGGCAACTCCTCCAAATTTCCCAGATATATACTGGGGAATGGAAAGGAAGAAACTTCAAAAGGATGCATGGAGTATGGCTATGAGTGGACTTTTTTTTTGAGTGAATTCCCAAGATAGGAATTGGACAACTGTGAAGGTTTAAAATTCTCAGGCAAGAATCCTAGGAGCATAGCAGGGTCTGCTGCTTTGCTGTCTGGCTTATAAAGGCAGTGGGTCTCTGCCACCCATAAACTAGCTGGCCTTCTTAAACTTGAGATAGATCAAAGGGTTAAACCTGGAAGAGTCAAATCTTTAGAAGGTAAGAGGCAAAAAGGGAGCTCCAGAGCAGCATCACCTTCATGAACTAGACTTTCTCTAGGTCCCTAGGCTCTCTCCAATGCCAAGATCACTGCAATAACAGATGTTCCCGCTTCTATGCCCATCTTTTACCTTCCAGTAATTGCTAATCCTAGGTAACTGGCTAAGGTAAAGCCACCTGCTCTGAAATATAGGAGCTGGTTCCAAATAAACAGGAGTGAAAAGAGAGGGAAAAGGCCAACCAGAGGGCTCCGTTTCCAACTGGATGATAGGGAAACTGATGAGATGGGGCTCTTTACCGGTTCAACAGATGGTAAGGCCCCCAGGGAACCGAGATGTGCAGCAATGATGCCAAGGCTTGAATGCAGAGATGTCGTAAGCCAGAGAGTTTTCTGGGACAAAAATAAGACTGGGCTAATATTTGTGAATCTGTGCATGCTTTCGCTTCATAAAGAAAATACCAGCCTTACAAAGGTCACATTTATTTGCTTTCTCTGCTCACCTAGAATCCGACACTCAGAAAGTGCTAAACACTAAGCAAAAACTACTTAGACCAAAGATCCAATGTGCTTAGAAAACATGCCTTTCATGAACTCAGAAAAATGGCTACACCTGATATAATAAAATTGTAGTTACCCCTCCCTCCATTGCTTTGAGTATTACAAGTCGCTTTTGTTGGTACAGGAGTATGTCAGGACTGAAGAAGGAGTTAAATTTCTGCATGCTGATAAAATTTAGAAATATCTGTTGATATTTGGCTGGCTCTTTCTGAAACAATTTTCTTATAATTGCCCACTAAGTATGTTATATGGTGTTATAATAGTCTTCTTAGAAGTATCCTAAAAGTAGACAGAATCACTCTCAACTTTTTTCACTCCACAATTCCCACTCAATGTCACTATTTTTTTCTCAAATATAACAGCAAAGTAGCTAAAATTTAGGGTATGTACCTGCTCAAATGACTTCAAGCAAATTACACGAACGGCTTTAAAGGCAAACAATATACTGGACCAGAACTCTATTCTCATGTCATTGATGGTGGAAATCTGCCTGATTTCCAATGAACAGGATATCTCATTTTTTTCTTTTTTTTGTATTTGTTGATACCACCTGAGTGTTCATCTACCTGATACAGAGAAAGGTTACTAGCCTGGGAACTATAATCATGTGTATCCAATATTGGCATCTATATAATGATTACTGAAGTTGTTGCCAATTACGTGTCCATCAGAGAGAAACACATTCCAACTCAGAAAAGCCTGGTAGCCAGAGTTATTCTAGCCCTACGTTCTGGCTGACCTTGGGGACCACAGCTCTTGAAAAAGTCAGGGGTCTCCTCTTATGATTTAGGCGAGATCAGTGGCAATAAGTGATCTGCTCTCACTCTGGGGTAGATCTAGGTATTTGAGATTTCTGTTCCTCAAATCCAACCCAGAGTAGACACTATTAAAGATATGCCTACTATTTGATGGGAGATATCCAAAAGTCACTACCATGGGGATACCTTCATTGGGAGAGCAGGACACCTGCTGCCTGACCTCTTTTTGGAGTAGTATTTATTTATTTATTTATTTATTTATTTATTTATTTATTTATAACATTTATTCAGTTTTGAGAGACAGAGAGTGAGTGGGGAAGGTGCAGAGAGAGAGGGAGACACAGAATCTGAAGCAGGCTCCAGGCTCCAAGCTGTCAGCACAGAGCCCAACATGGGGCTCAAACCCACAAACTGTGAGATCATGACCTGAGCCAAAGTAAAAATCACAGATGAAGAAAACATTTAGCCTCCTGTTTTTTTTCAAACCTTTGTTTTGCTTTATTTTTTTTAGGAAAAAAAAATAATAATAATGACACCTCAAGTATATCCAAACGAAAAAGAGCCTAAAGTGCTCACTTGCCTTTCTTCTTCCCAATGATGACCATTAAGGTATGCTCACAAAGTCCTGGAGTTCTTTGGAGCAAAATTAGAAAATTCATAATAACTCAAAATTAGAAAACTCAAAATTAGAGAAGTTGTAATTTAAACTGACTCCTGACAGTTTCATATGAAATAAGAGGAAACTGAGGTCCGGAGTGGGGATAAGTGAATTAGACAAGGTCAGAGTAATCGATTACTCAGTGGCAAACCCAACACTAAACTTCAGGTCTCCTGGTTTGTATTCTGGCACTTTACCCTTTTAATCTGTTCTGTCCAATTGATTAGTAACATATGGCGGCCGAACACTTGAAAAGCGCTTGGTCCAAACTGAGATGAGCTGCAAGCCTACAAAATATGAACTGGATTTAGAACACTTGATACAAGAAAAAGAATGTAAAATATCTTACTAATATTTGTACGTGGATTACATGTTGAAATAAGATTTATTATTGGGCTAAATAAAATGTATTAAAAGTAATTGTACTGGGGCGCTGGGCAGCTCAGTCAGTTAAGCATCCGACTTCAGCCTAGGTCATGATCTCACTGTTCTGCCGTTTGAGCCCCGCATTGGGCTCTGTGCTCACAGCTCAGAGCCTGGAGACTGTTTTAGACTCTGTGTCTCCCTCTCTCTGCCCCTCCCCAACTTGTGCTCTGTCTCTCAAAAATAAATAAACATTAAAAAGTTTTAAAAATTGTACCTCTTTCTTTTATTTTTTAATATGGATACTAGAACATTTAAAACTGTACAAATGGTTTATACTAGATGATGATTGGACCATGATGCATCCTTCTCAAGGAAATAGGAAAATAGGGAGAGTGAAAAATATATTCTGTAATCTTTCTTTTTCTCCAACTTCGGTTCCCACAAAACTCCAAGCTGTCTCAAAACTGATGGCACACTGGACTCACTTTTAAAAGTAAATGATGCTGAGGTGCAATGTCTAAAAATTCTTATTTAACTTGTATAGGATAGGGCCCGGGCAGTGGTATGGTTTTAAAGAAACTTGGGGTGAACTGATGTGAAATTCAGATTGAGATTCACTGATCTATACCGTAATTAAAGGCATACATACAAAACACCAGGCAGTTTAAATACCACCCCCTCAAACATGCTCCACAATGTCAATCAACTATAGCAGATGCACTATCTTTGCAAGTCCAGACACGTTTATTCCATCCTGCTCTGTAATCAGAATCTGTACAGAAACAGCTCTTGTCCCGTATTTCATGTGGCTACTGTCTGCACCAGGGCTGTCTAAGATACTTATTTTGACACATGTTAAGAGACAGCTTAAGGATATCACATGTCAAACACAACTTAAAACACGTTCTAGCCTGACCTCCATAAACTGGCACTCCATTTCTCCCTCGTGGACATTTGTACATGTCACAAACGACTATTCTAATCAAACCATATCAATCAACCAATCAGTCATCAAGCACCTAGTAAGCACCTACTATGTTCTGTATTTAACACAAGGCGGGGAGAAGTGGGCGACATAAAACAAGTAGTAGCAGATCCAGACTCTAAAGAGATTACCATGTGATATATATATATATATATATATATAGAGAGAGAGAGAGAGAGAGAGAGAGAGAGAGAAAGAGAGAGATAGCTCTATAGATATATACATCAGTTTTCCTTGAGATGCCTGGGGAAAAAAAGCATTAAACTGCAAAACTGAAGAACAAAAGTTAAAGAAAATGAGAGGCAATGTAATATATAAGGGGGGAAAATGTGTTTATCTACTTTATGTCTAGGTTCCTGTAAACTCTTAGATGCAAACACAGCTTTCTTTTGCCTAAAGTATATGATAACTATCTCATTGTTCAGGTGGCTTTGGAAGACAAGGCTCTGTCTTTAAGAAATAAAAAATAGAATATGCTAGTGTTAGGATATAATATACCAGCTAAAAAATACAAAAGCAATGCCATGGTCAGTAAATAAAATTACTCTGAAATCTGATCCTTCCTCTCAATAGACAGTTAAGGGATATGTAAAAGGAAGTGCTGGTGACTTTTCACTAAATTTCACTTAGGTTCTAATATTGAGCAATTACGTTTGACCTATATTCCTCTGGGTATACAAAAATGTTATCAGTATGGAGATATATGCTTATCCATGCACATGATATCTAAATGCAAAGAGATACAAAACCTGTTGTCTAGGAGAGAGCTTAAAAATTAACCACAGTTAGCCTCTAAGAAACACTGTAGGAACTTATTTACTAGGGTCCTACTTATGCCATTCCTGCGGACAGTCATCACTTGTTTGTTTGAAAGTCTCTGGCTTTCATTACAGACATTAATGCCTGTCATGTTAAAATATGCTTACCCATCTCAAGTGCGGTTGAATATTAATCTTGTAAACAGAAACATCCGGTCCCACTTAAACTAAAAAAAAAAAATCTTCACAGGGCATCTATAAATAAAACCCCAATTTATTATTTACTCATTTTTTTTTTTTCCTACAGCTATGATGAGTTCCTCCATCTTCAGCAAAGGCCTCCTTACCCACCTCCTCTGAACACTACCACTCAGATCTTGAGCCTAAAAATGTATTCAGCTTTAGACAGTATGTGTATTGATCATTTCACTAGCAAACTGAAAACCTCATTTGGTTGTCCTAAATGTTTACATGCAAATATAGCACGATGGTATTTTATGTAACATCCCCAAAGTGTTAATCAAAGGGCGGCATGCTACTCGATGCATTTATTAAAATAAGCGATTGACAATAAACTATTTGTAAAAAAAAAATAAATAAATAAATAAAAAATAAAATAAAATAAGCGATCCTTTTGCCCTCTGGCTTAAAGAACTTTTATCATACACAGTACTTTTGAATGTAAATCTGAAATGCTCTACAAGCAATTCTTTAATAAAGCTCAGTCACTACTTAATTAAAAGAATTATTGTCCCAACTACAAGGGATTCAATAAATAATTAGTGAAAACTAGTATCTTAACAGTACAATCAGAGCTTCTTTTGTTACATGAATTTCAAAATACTTTTCCTTTAAATATGTTTATTGATACATACCCACTCCTCATCCTTTCTGTGTACAACTTTTCTTATTCTCTAGCCACTCTGTATTCTTAAGTCTAAGGACTCAGGGACATAAGGAGGATGACAGCCCACTACCCCTTCCACATGTAGGATTGGGGAGTTCAATCACAAAACTCCTTCGGATTTCTGATATTTCGGTTAGTTCATTTAATTACTAGAAAAATTGCAATTGGCTTACATAACAAATTATGTAATACTGATTCAACATATAAGATGATTTGACAAAAGTTATATTTTAAGAAATTTCAAAACATTTCAGCATCACTGAAAAGCTTAAATAAAATCTGATTTTTTTTGTTAAAATAAAAATATTATATGTAGGGGCGCCTGGGTGGCTTAGTCGGTTAAGCGTCCGACTTTCGCTTAGGTCATGATCTCGCGGTTCGTGGGTTCGAGCCCCGCGTCGGGCTCTGTGCTGACTGCCAGCTCGGAGCCTGGAGCCTGTTTCAGTCTGTGACTCCCTCTCTCTCTGACCCTCCCCTGCTCACGCTGTCTCTCTCTCTCTCTCTCCTAGAAATAAATAAAACATTAAAAAAAAATTATATGTATAAGTCCAGCGCTTAACATGGTAGCCAGGGCAATCACAGATTATTTTATACATATACCTGATTGAAGCAAAATTATACTTACTGGTTTTTAGTATATGGTACTACTGAGTGTTTAGAGTAAACTAAGAATTTTAAGTAAATATTAGGTATTTTAAACAATTTAAATTAAATACTTAAACATTTTAAATCTATAAAAATTAAAGATGTGTCATTTGGTGAGAGTCTACTCTATAATTTTTTAATAAAAATATATAATCAGTCATACTCAGTTATATTAGCAGTTAAGCAATTATACGTATCTGATCTCAATACCAGATGAAGTGACTACAGCAATATTTTTAGCAAATGGTATGTACAGCAATCTCTAGAGAAGCAAACTTACAGTAATTCATACAATTCTAGTCACTGAGATAAACTTAAATAGAAGGCTGTGGTTTTTTAAGATTTTATTTTTAAATAATCTCTACTCCCAAGATGGGGCTTGAACTTACAACCTCAAGATCAAGAGTCGCATGTTCTATTGACTGAGCCAGCCAGGCACCTCAAGCAGAGGGCTTTTTATTTTTTTGTTTCTGTCTTGAATATTTGGATTTTTCGAGAGAAGTATGTCACAAAAAACAAACAAGATACTTTAAGAAAAAAACAAGAAACAAACAAGTTACTTTAAGACAATCTGAATTTATTTGCCAAGTAAGCAGCTCCATTGAAACATGATTATTTTCCCTGAGAAATGAACAGTAGCTAGGGATTCTAAAACTTTCTTTAACCCAAGACATACTTTACCATTCAGAAATCTTCAACTCAGTGGCCTAAGACATGCAATATAAGCAAGGACCTTACCTATACTAGAATTGAACTATTTGACTACCAATTTTTTAATACATGTAATATTTAGATATCTCTGTATTAAAAACAGCGAACCCTCCTAGAGACTTCAGTTAAACTTGGAAGTTGATATGAAAAATCAATCTATGCCCACATACAACTCTTTTCCTTTCAAATTCATCATTCAGCTTTAGATGCCCACACATTTTCTATGCCCACATGCCTACCCAAGGTCCCCATCCCTACGCTTAAATCAACTACAGGCATCAGTTTTGTTTTGTTTTGTTTTTTAATGAATAAACGTTCTCTTCTTTGAAAGGTCTCGATGAAGTGGTAGATCTATGTGCCAAATATCGAATAATGTAAATCTAAGTGGCAATTTTAGGATATTACCATGTTACCACTTTTACATAGAAAAGGGGATTGGCTTTAAAATGATAAATCTGGCATACTGCCTTATACCTGTGTGCCACGGTGAAGCAAAGATCAATATTTTGCCTCAGAGTCCCCCTTAGAGAGCCAAGGGCAGGAGACAAAATCCCAGGTTTGCATTTAATTCCCCACTGCCTTGGCTCTCTGCTCCCTACTCCCCATGGGCTCAATAGTGAAATATCAGATCCTTTGGGCCTCTCCACGTTTCAGCAATGCTTACACAGGATTATATTGTTTGCTTCAGTCAGATGACCAGGACTGCTCTCATCCACTCTCTCTGACCCACCATTTCTAAGAAACACCCACTCCTACAAATAATAATATAAAAGCATACACAAGAGCTCACATTATGAGCACCTCAAATGTGTGCTGTCCAAATCATAATCTCCACACTTCTATTTAAAAATTGGAATGCTTTAGTGACTACCACCTACAATTATACCCTCTGAAACTTTATTCATTTGTTTCATTTATTTTTAAAAAGTGCTTGTCAATTTTGATTTTAAATCAAACATGCATTTCTTAACCTATCAAATGGAAAAGGGCTAAATTTCATAAGAAAGCTGCAACAGAGTGCATTCCCTTCTTTAATAAAAAGCCATACTTAAGGGATATTTTCTACTCGTATATAGTGCCTATATTGTATGTAAAAGAAATTCTTAAATAACTAAGGGAACAGATTAATTATATTGTCAACTTTAAATTTACATGTAATACCATGACTCTTTAAATAATTCAATCATTACTACTCAAAAAACAGAATAATTAAGTAGAAAGACTAATGATCAAGTCCCATTGAAAGTCTCTTCTAATACTGTTGTGTACTAGTTGTCATGATGTCAAACCCACTTGTTTGTGACTTCAGTGAAGTTGTTTTGAACGAAGGGTGAATTTGTTTACATTGAGGAAACCATGTTAGAATGTTGGCATCAACATTGGTTGCTGTCAATAAGCTCTCAGTGGTTCATCTATTATTGATGGGTTACACTGGGGACGTATCAATAAGAGCATAGGGAAGAGCCACTGTGATGTAATGGACTTTTAAATGTTAAAAGGGCGCCTGGATGGCTCAGGTCATTATCTCACAGTTTGTGAGTTTGAGCCTCGTGTTGGGCTCTGTGTTGACAGCTCGGCGGAGCCTGGAAACTGCTTCAGATTCTGTGTCTCCTTCTCTCTCTGCCCCTCCCCCAATTGTGCTCTATCTCTTTCTGTCTCTCAAAAATAAATAAATGTTAAAAATAAAATAAAAAATAAAAAAATGTTACATACCAAAAATTTGTGTGAACTTACCAGGGGTATTTGGTTGGGACAAAGGTACCCTTTCCTGATCCAAATGGCTCTGCAAAAGCCTCAGGCAGCACATACATAAAGACTTTGGGCACTAGCTCCTGCCATGGCAAGGTGAGTCTCAAGAGGAGTGGTGAAAACGGAGCCGGCGCCCTTGAAGGAGATCATCTTGCCCGCCAACACCACCAGCACCTTCATTCCCCTAGCAACACACTCTAACAACAAGGGACATTTACTTTACCCTGGCAGCTGGATGTCAGCTCTTGGTTAGCTAAGCCAACTCTTCTGAGACCCAACTCCTAGACAGTTCTATGTAAACTAAATTCGGGCTTTCTTTCTTTCATCTCCCCTTAACCAGAAACAGTAGTGTAATTGACTCTATCATTGGTTTGGAGTATGTTACTTCTTTATTGGCTTATTAGGAGACATTATCCCATATGCTATTGGCTCGTGAAATATTACTATTATAAATTATAGTTCCCACAGTGAACCTGTGTTAAATTATTGGCAAAGACAATCTCACTCTCTGAGCATAATTTGCCTCAACAAAACAAATGTCTTGGCATTGACAGATATTCAATCACTGTATTTCTGAATGAATGAAAAAAATGAATGGATCTTTTTTTTTTTTTTTTTTGGCTTGCTCACTTGGAATTTGGGGAAATTTTGTGTGGTACTAGAATTAGTTTAAGAAGAGAGAGCAGAAAAAAATAACCTTGTTCAGATCTAAAAGTATGTAATTATAAAAAGGATAGTCAATAACCAAAATAACTCAGAAACTGAACCCTTCATTTAGTAAATGTCTTTTTTGAAGTACTCATTACAGGAAAGAGACTATGGATGCCAGATGGTGGGGCGGAGCTAGAGGCCACACCCAAGATGAAACAGACAGGGTCAACAGTGAGCAACAAATAGAAAACCAAAAAGGTGGCAGGGAAAAAATCACTACAAAATGCCTGAAGTGCTAAATGTTTTTAAGGCCATATATCAATACACGATCACAGATAATCTTTGCAGTTACTTATGATGTAAAATTGACCCAATAACAATAAAAATAATATCACCTGGGTACAGTAGTGCTTTGGTGCTGGTGCTTTTAAACTCACAAAGTGCTATCCTATGGCATTTCAGAAAGCAGTTCAAATGTTATCTTTAAAAAGAACATTCCTTCAGTTTAAAAAATGTTAGGGGTTCCTGGGTGGCTCAGTTGGTTGAGGTCATGATCTCCCAGTCTTTGGCTCAGGTCATGATCTCCCAGTCTATGAGTTGCAGCCCCTGTGTCAGGCTCTGACAGCTCAGAGCCTGGAGCCTGCTTCAGATTCTGTGCTTCCCTCTCTTTCTGCCCCTCCTCAACTTGTTCTCTCTCTCTCTCCTCTCTCTCTCTCTCTCTCTCGTTCTCTCTCTCTCTCTCATAAGTAAACATTTAAAATTTTAATTTAAAAAGTTAGTATTATATATTTATTGAAGTATGCATCAGTAAATTTAAATCCTTTTTAAAAATTTTTAGACTTGTGATATCTATACTTAATAGACTAACACTTTCTCAGCATCCCTAAGTGTCAGAAGTAGTTGAGGAGAGAGCCCTCCTTTCCCTCTTATTATCATTTGCTTGATGACTATCACTACCAGTCAGAGTGAATCTAAATCTTACTACCAGACACAAATGAAAAATGTAGTGTGAAATGCAGCTGTCAAGAATAGCTAAAACCTAGCTTATCTAACTCATTCTAAGCACACATAGAATGACAAACAGAACAACATAATTCCTATATGACTTTGGGTTATGGTTCTCTAAGACATCCAAAAAGCTTCAGTTCCATAAATTTCTCACTATCCAACTTAAAGATACTCATTTAGGCATGACTGTGAGCCATTTAGGCAGCATTGAGAGTGCTTTTCTTAAAGTTACATGTGCAGAATTCACAACTGCCATGGGGCGCCTGGGTGGCTTAGTCGGTTAAGCGTCCAACTTTCGCTTAGGTCATGATCTTGCGGTTTGTGGGTTCGAGCCCCGCGTCGGGCTCTGTGCTGACTGCCATCTCAGAGCCTGGAGCCTTTTTCAGATTCTGTGTCTCCCTCTCTCTCTGACCCTCCCCTGCTCACGCTGTCTCTCTGTCTCTCTCCTAGAAATAAATAAAAATATTAAAAAAAAAAAGAATTCACAACTGCCAGACAAGAAATATGATATCTGTATTACCATATTGTTTAAAATCATCCATTGGTGTAAATTTCCATACCCCCAAAACCAGTTAGGATTAAATGTAAAACCACTAGTAGATTAACACAAATGTAAGATACAGGTCATATCCAGTGAAAAGTTATCATGCATACATACACACATACCCCACAAATCAAATAGTGTTAATAGTGCACATTAGTCTAACAACAGAGTTGTATGTATTTTGTATAAGGCCCTGGATAGTGGTCCTCTTCTTCAGCACTACAGTTCCCATCATCCTCACCAAACACAGAGTAATCACACATCCAGAGGTGACTGAAAATTGATCAGAGGCGGGACACTCCGCACAGGTGTATGTGATTTCACAGGAGAGGAACGGAGCCATTCTCACTATACTAAATACAAAAGAATGATGGCCCGGCAAAATTGAGCATATGTGTGTTTAGTGACATATTTCTCAGTAGCCCCAGGGAATACTAGGGGATATCTGTGGTAATCATGATGGTATACAGTTGAGCCTTGAACATGAGAATTAGGGGCACCAACCCCTTGTATATTTGAAAATCTTCATGTAACTTTTGATTTCCCAACACTTAAACTGCTAAGAGCCCGCTCTTGACTAAAAGGCTTACCAATAACATAAGCAGTCAATCAACACTTTGTATGTTACCTATATTAGATACCATATTCTTAATATAAAGGAAGCTAGAGAACAGGAAATTGTATTAAGAAAATCATAAGGAAGAGAAAATCCATTTACGTTCCTATATTGTACTTATAAAAAATATCCGCATATAAGTGAGCCTGTCAGTTCAAACCTGTTATTCCAAGGTCAAATGTACATTCCACACTTCAGAAATACCTCTTATTCCAGATTGCCAGACAATATATTGTTACAAAGAGTGAATTTTAAATAATTTAATATTTAAAAGAGATATGGCTCAGTTATGTCACACTTTCCCCTTTAGTGAAATGTCCCCTTCCCTGATCAAAGCACATAAATGAAGACTAGATTAAATTGTTGATTTGGTGGGGGGGATACAATTTAAATCAGAAAAAGGTCTTCATTCCCAAGAGTGTGTTCAGCCATTCATAATGAAACTGAAAATAGTCTGATTTGCTAGTACTCTACATATCAGCTATATATATTTTTTAAATGACATGTAGGGTACATGCATTCAGTAAGTCCTGGAAAAGTGTCATAAAGATTCTACCCATTACTTAAATGCAATCTACTAAAAGCAATTTTCCTTTATACACTTAAAGTCTGAGAAAATACCTCTAAGGTTGATTTTTAGATAATATTCTTCTCAAAACAATAACATCATGATTTTTGAGGATATTTAATTTGTACAAAGAAATAATTTTACACAGAAATAATATATACTTTTGTAATAGAGAATTAAACAGTTCAAAGTGCTGGAAAAATTCAAAGAAAATTAAAGAAAGAACAAAATTGTTTTTATCACTTCAGGGTGATAAATTTGAGTTCAGTTCACCAGACTGCCAAGTTAGACTGTATTTAAAAAAATTCTAAATAGCATGTGAATTTTACTGGAACTATTTCCCATAGGTATTGGCATTGCTTACTCCCCACCTAACCAAAGGGGACCCAATTATTACTCACACCAAATGATAAACAAAACAAATGATAATCAGTCACCCAACCTTTTCTTAACTCCCTTACCTCTAGACTCTAATTGCCCAAAGGGTTTCCACACTTAAGGGACAATAAAGTGTGTCCTAGAAGCAAGCACAGAATCTTGGATCTGTTTCTCCAGAAGAGGATATTGCGGTTGCACTGGAAAGAGGATTTATCTCTTTTTTTAATGCGAATAATTTCCCCATCCCAGATACAACTATTCAAATAACAAACTGTTCATGAATAAACACAGAACAATGTAGATCTTGGTAGAGACTATTTGCCACAAGGTCTACCACCATTTGGTACTGAAACAACAAAGGGAAACAGTTACAGGAAATTTCCCTGCAATTGTTTATTTATACACATTTATAGAGTGGGGATACAATATTGATTAAGTCACCAAGAGTTCACATAAGTTGCATTTTGTTAAAGTTAATAACCAAAGAACAGGTAACTAAAGAAAAGTAAAATGTTTTAAAAATATGACTACTGAAAGAAAACACAGAACATAAACAGAAAGTAAAGAAAAACTGCAGACTTTTAAGAAAATACGCAATTATTAAAAGGGAGAAAAGCCAAGCTGTATAAAGCATCAAATAAATTAACATTTTGTGAAACTGTTTAAATTCTGTGGCAATGCTATGTGTTGCACAAATTTCTGGGAAGAAAGTCCACAGTTTCATAGACTCTCAAAAGGATCTTTGACCCAAAGAGGCTAAGGCTCCCCCCATCAGAGATTCCTCACCACAACTATGATACTCATTCTAGTCTAGTAACTATGATTACTCAATTACATGCTCATCTAGATTATTAAAGTGCTGGTCAGACGATTTCTCCAAATCCCCAGTTCTCTCTCCTAATCCATCTAATCCCCAAGCATTATGGTCTGGCCAGACCCAATTACTCAATACTCCAAGTATTCCATATAATTCCATATGTTTCCTCAAGGCTTTCAGAAATAGTAAGGCAAAGGGTCTAAAAGCACAAACTCAGAGGTCAGACTCCCTGGGTTTACACCCCAACTTCACCAAATTATACTATCCTGAACAAGTCGCTTAACTTCTCTATACTATAGTTTTCCAGATCTGGAAATTAAGGATTGAACAAACTAATATGTGTAAAGTGCTGGGAACATTATTAGCAAAACAAATTCTTCATTAAGTATTCCTTATGATTAACAAATTGCCTTGCTTAGCTCCTTAAGCATGCAACCTCCTCATCATCCCTATTCAAATCAATGTCACAACTTCTGAAAAAACCCAAAGACTGCTTTCCATTTGAACCACCAATCCCTGAGTAGCAATTACTTAATAAAATGTCCTTTGATCACCAAAATATAAAGCTTTCTTTATCTCTGTGTTTTAAAACACAAAA